CCTGGATAAACAGTCAGGTACGCCACATGCTGCGTGCTCACTCTCATGCATTCAGATCAGGCGATGAGACGAAGTACAGACTGAGGAAAGCCATCACAGCGGCCAAGAGGCAGTACAGAGAGAAGCTGAATGTGTTACTTATTTATCTGCTTTATATTTCATTTGTATTTTGTGGCATTCATGTGGATGGCAAAGTAAGAATTTCATTGTACAGGGAAACACATTTCCTAACTGCATATGACAAATAAACACTTTGAACTGAACTAAAGAGAGTCTGGATTGGAATGTCTCTATATAGTGCTTTTATGTATGTACTAAATTAAGAGGTAATTATGAATTGGTATCGCTAACATTGTAGCGTGGACCTCTTATGGAGTCATATACAGTTGCAATATTGTAAACGGATCACACCAACTCATCTTTCTTCACTGCTTTAATTTTTATAAATGTATGTCCCCCACCTGTTAAGGTTAGGTGAAGCGATGGCTATTAGTCTACAGTTTGCTTTATTTCCTAGCAGTACATGTAAATCAATTTTTATCAAAGTTTGCTTAAGATTTCCCCAATGTATTCCCACATTGCTTTTTAATTATGTAGAAACTGAATTAAGATTTTGAGTAAGTGGACCAATTAACTGTGGTCAACTGTGGTGGCAGCTGGCCTGTTGGTTTGTACCAATTTGTACAGTCGATGGTTTGTACATGTCAGAATGTAAGAACCCAAGCAGCACAATCTGTATTCACAAAATAATAAGGCTAAAAGATGATTTCATGGGGCAAAACTGGGAACCAGTTTACAGGGAGGATGACTTAGATAAAGCATATGAGCAATTTTTAAACATATTTAAGAAAGTATATGACTGTACTCGTAAGCAGTATAAAAATAAAAGGAATTATAGTGAGAGACCGTGGATGAGCAAGGGATTACAGAATGCATGCAAAAAGAAGAATGCATTATATAAGCAATTCATAAAGGACAGATCAAAGAAGGCGGAAGAAAAATATAAGTCATATAAGAACAAATTAACTGAGATTTTGAGGAGATGTAAGAAACTATATTACTCTAAAATATTAGAGGATAATAAAAATAACATGAGAGGTACGTGGAATATGTTAAATAAATTGATTAGAAACAGTTCTAGAAAGAGTAACTACCCTCAATATTTTATGGATAATGATACACCGGTTAATAGAATGGAGGATGTAGTTGATAAGTTTAATAGGTTCTTTGTGAATGTTGGTCCTGGTTTAGCAAAAAGAATTTGTACAGATGATATATCCGTCACTATAAATAATAATACAATCGAAAGGAACATGAGTTCTATGTTTTTGAAGCCCATAGCTGAAAAGGAAATTATAGAGATAGTGAACAAAGGTGGTAACAAAACATCCAGTGATAGTGATGGTATCACCATGACAACTGTCAAATGGGTAATTGAGGGGATATCTAAACCATTAACCCATATTTTTAACATGTCGTTTCGACTTGGGCAGTTCCCCAATAATATGAAAATAGCAAGGGTTATTCCTCTGTATAAATCTGGTGATAAGCACAACCTCACAAATTATAGACCGATTTCTCTGTTGTCACAATTTTCAAAAATTCTGGAAAAACTCTTTAATAACAGATTAGACACATTTATTGACAAACATAAAATCCTCTCTGATTGCCAATATGGTTTTAGGTCACAAAGATCGACATCCTTGGCCATTACTGACCTGATG